AGCAGTCCTTAATGGAAAAAAAAAGTATAGGTTTCCACTCAATTTCACATGCATCACACTAAAGTACAAAATTTCTCCAAGTGAGTTTGATATAAAAAGTTCTACACTTCTAAGCCCCTTTCAAAACAGTGACTGGGGGGCAGAGAGATGTGAAAACCATAAACGGGGAGAAAGGCGTGAAGACCATGACCTTCTGTGGAGCAGCCCAGTACCTAAAGCTAGCCCGTGGGAGGGGGGGAGGGGAGAGGGGAGGAGCCTTCGGAAGCCGTCCAGTCCAGTCCACCCCCCACCCCCCGCACAAAGCATTAATTCTTCAGTCCCCACCAGGTGGTCCTGCAGCCCTCGTCAAACGGAGTATTTTTAATACAGGAGGATCGCCACCTCTCTCCCACGTCAAACCACTACCTTGTTAGATAACTCTGGCTCTAAAAAGTTTCGCTGGTATTAACGGACTCTTCTGGCCCCAGCTCCATCTCAGAACGGGGAGTACAAGGTTTTCTCCAGCACAAAGACCACCTAGAATCACGACGTGTTCGACTTGCTTTCACAGCACTCCACACCTCCCGATTCCCTCTCCCGCAGACAATGAATGCAAGACACGAAGACACCTTTCCAATAGAAAAATGAACTACTTTCATTTAAAAATTATTGAGCCGTGGCTGGTGTGGCTCAGTGGTTTGACTGCCGGCCTGTGAACCAAAGGGTCGACAGTTGGATTCCCAGTCATGGCACATGCCTGAGTTGCGGGCCAGGTCCCCAGTTGGGGGCGTGTGAGAAGCTACCAGTCGATGTTTCTCTCCTGCGTTGATGTTTCTCTCCCTCTCTTTCTCCCTTCCTTCCACTCTGTCTAAAAATAAATAAATAAACAGTTCAAAAATTATTGAGCACAGAATCATACAACGTTAAGAAGGCCTTGCAAGCCGTCTAGTTCTGTGTCCCACCTGCTGCAGCAGCAGCTGTTCCCACAATGCCTCTGGGCAGCACATCTGCGGCCTGAAGGCCAGACGAGAGGTGGGAAGTAAGACCCCCTGACCTGAACGTCAAGTAATTCCGAGTATGTACAGCTTTGAAAAGGTGTGTGTCACCATGAAGATCTGGGAGGTAACACTGACAGAAGGAGATGAAAAGTAATCCAAGCAATTTGGTCCCTCTCCATTATTTCACTTTCACTTGCTACACAATTTCCCAGTTATAAGAAAGTTAAATTTATAACCTATTAACAGTAATTTTCAATGTCTTTAAAAAGATGTGAGCTACTAAAAACACATGATACTTTTGGGCCCAAAACTGAATAGGTTTTTCAGCTTCAAAGATCTTTTTAAAGAGGACATAGATAGACATGAACGTTTTATTCAGTCATTTACTCAAGAAGTAAACTGTAGGGGCCTACTCTCTGCTGGACACTCTGCTGGGCACTAGGAAGACAAAGAAGGCAGAAAAAGACACGGTCTCTTCTAAGGGAGCTGTGTTTATGGAAGAGACAGTCAGATCATCACCCGAAGAATCAGAAATTGTACAAAGTGCTAGAAAGGCCAAGTCCAGGATGCGCTGAGAACAGGTAACAGGGAAAACACCTGACCCAGCCTGGGAATGCCAATATGGGTTTGCTGAGGACAGGACCGGAGAGATGGCGGAAGTAGTGTTCAGGCTGAGACCGAGGTGGCAGCCACTCACATCCATGTGAAACACACCTCCAGAAAATGAGAGGGTTGGTCCTCAAGCCCAGCCACCTCCGGCATCTTCACCCTATAACAACCTCTTTTTTAAAGAGGAAAGCAAAGTACGCTACACAGAGGCATGAAAGGTAGTAGTTGAACTTCTCTGGGAGAGACACAGGGTTCCACTGATTTGTGGGTACCCCACATCACCTTACCTACTATAAATATTACTGTAGTAGCTACTCAAATCTTTGTGAAAACGATTCGTGTCAGTATTAAATCAGTGTTTAGCCCTGGCTGGTGTGGCTCAGTGGAATGAGTGCCAGCCTGAGAACCAAAGGGTCGCTGGTTCGATTCCCCGTCAGGGCACATGCCTGGGTTGTATGCCAGGTCCCCAGGAGAGGGTACATGAGAGGCAACCACACATTGATGTTTCTTTCCCTTTCTCCCTACCTCCCCATCTCTAAAAATAAATTAATTTTTTAAAAAAATCAGTGTTCATATTATCTTTAGTTAAGCAACATAAATTCACAAAAACTACATCTCTTCCCATCAGAATCCCCATTTTGAACTTCAGCTGTGAAAAGATGCTGTCACCTCCTCACAGGACCGCTATCAAGATTCAGTGAGGCACCACGTGGCAAAACACCGGGGCAAGTTCTGGGGGAGCATATGGCACCCGTGTGACGGAAAAGCCCGCTCGGTCCCTTCTCACTAGGACAGCTCTCCAGATTCATTGCTGGGCCTCAGGTCCCCACCGCGCGGATACCCGGGGGCACAGGTCAGCGTGCGCCCAGCCTTGCAGTTCTCTGGGGGTGAGACTGCGCGAACCCCGAGTCCCGCCCAGCTCTGGAACCCGACCTGCACGGGTTTTAAAAGGACTGAGATTACGTTTCTTGGCTCCTCATCCATTCCTTTCCAGGTGGCTCTGTACCTCCTTTCGGGAAGTTTTTTAAGAGACCTTTAAAAAAAAAAAACCCTCATCAGAGGATATGTTTCTCTTGATTTTTAGAGAGAGAGAGAAAAACATAAATCACGGGCCTCCCATACATGGCCCAACTGGGGATGGAGCCCGCAACCAAGGCGTGTGCCCCAAACTGAGCCCACACCCTCTCGGGGCGCAGGATAACGCTCCAGCCAAACGAGCCACCCAGCCAGGGCTCAAGGGACCTGTGTTCACTTACTTCACACATGGATTTCAGTTGAATGTGTTCGTGTAAATTTGAATTTCTAAATGACCTGAAAAATTGTTGTAAAACTTTTATGCTCCAAAGGGAAAAAAAAAAAAAAGTCAAAATGACAAACTTTTAACCCCCAAAAGTTTAGTTTCTAATTAAGGAACACTATCTCCTCTATTTTAAAATCAGAAAATAAGAGTCACATAAACATCATTTATACTCAGAAATAGTAAGTGCAAACTCATTCATGGGAAAAAAATTTTAATTATAATGCCTAGATGAGAGTTGATGCAAATGTAGACAAGATATTACCATATCAAAATGAAATTTTATGAAAAAATTAAAGTGCTTAAACTACTGAACTAGAGGCAAACTTATGTGTTTAAGGCTGTCTTGTGTAGTTCTGAGGAGCTTTCCTAGTTTTACCCTGTGCTGATGGTCTCCCACTAAGAGAAACCACCACGTTAACACTCCCAGGCAAGAGACCTGCTTCTATGATGCGAACCAGAGCTGCCAGATTCAAGTGAGGTTTCCCACTAGAATGGTTCAGAAACGATATACCTTCAAAGGGAACTTTTTAAAAAAGGTAACACCCACACAAACAACAGCTAATACATTTTCTTTTTATGCACTTATTTATTTTACATAAATAGATTTTAGTAACTTAAAATTCTAAAATTATTTCCAGAAAAAAGGCTGGTCCATTCAGTCCTAGCATCAATGTCGGGACAGCAGCTTCCTGTTGGACAGTTACCCTCACTGCTTCTCTTAACTGTATCTTATACCCACTGAGCGATTCAGGGCTTCAAAGTTCACTACAGCCCTCCTATTTAAACTACAATGTGCGAACTGCAAACGTTCCCTTTAAAAAGGGTGCGGATGGAAGTTAAAGAACTCATCCAAGGTCACCCGACAGGTCCGTGACAAAGTTGGGACTAGGGCTCAAACTTCTGCGCCTGGACCACCAAGGACTTCACACTTCCAGGTCCGAGAGAGAGAAAATAAAGCCAGGCGAGTCACTGTGGGTAACTCAGAGCAGCGCACCCCGGACACGGTGGTACACCTGCAAGCACCAACCACAAAGACTCCCCCTGAACGCTCGAGACGACCTGCTAGACGACCTGCTCCAGTTAGGTGCCACTGTCACTCTCGACCGTTCCGGGTGTGTTAAATCTTGGGGAAGGCTCACGCTTCCGTGCCTGCCCTTGAAGTGCACACTAGCCAAGCAGGTAAGAATCCGTCCCCACCCTTCCCCACGCCTCAGTGCTGCAGGCGCGTCCACCCCCTCCCTCTCCCGGGAGTCGAGTCGAAGACCACAGATCTCAAAGAGAACCAAGTCACGTTGCTAGTGAAACAAGCGCTCTAACGAGCGCTTATTTCAAAGAGATATGTTTACAGGATGATTACGTGTTTCGCAGAATCACCGAGAAGTCGTCCGTCTCGACCGGTTCCCCGCACCGGGCGTGGAAGGCCCGCCCGCCGCGGCCGGGACCAGGGGCCTGGGCGCGCCCCCACGGAACCCTCAGGACCAGCCTCGCGCCCGGAGCGCGTCCCTTCGACCTCACGCCGCCGGAACTAGCCGTCCCGGACTCGGGGACGAGAGGGAGGCACCCCGGCGGAGACAGTGACAGCAGCCGCCTTCGGCGTTGTCGCCAAGAGCGAGTGCTAACGCCAACGGGAGCGGCTCCCGGGAAGTGTCAGAACGGCGGCAGGGGGAGCGGCCTGGGTGCCGGGCAGGCCCTTCCCGACCTAGTCTCACGCCCCCCGCTGCCTTCCCCGGCCGCCCGTTCTCTAACCCACGGCGAGACTCCCGACCCTCCCGGGAGGCGAGGCCGCCTCAGCGACCAGACGGCCACCCTCCCTCTTCCGGGGACTCGCAGGCCCGCTCCCTGGCCGTGTCAGAGTCCGACGGACCCGCCAGATAGGGACGCGGACCGCTCGGGCGCCTCCCGGACGGAGCCCGGCTCCCCGCGGCCCCCCGCACCGCCCCCACCCCGTTCTCCGGAATCCCCCTTCCTCGGCGGCGCCCCAGTGGAGTTGCCGGCCCACTCCGAAGTAAGCGCGACGGCCGCCCCGGTCGGTCAAACCGGGTCCCCGCTGTCACCGCCCTACTCCCGGCCTCTGCCCACGCCGCCGGCGGCCCCGGGGACGCCCGGGTCGGTACCTTGCGGACCCCCTTGTAGATATAGAAGTAGAGCTCCCGGCCCACATTGAAGCAGAGGCGGTCGCCGTTGCCAGACTGGTCGTTGAGGTTTACGAAGGAGACGCGGACAGGGTTGGATCCCTGCGAGTTGAAGGGCACCCGGTTGGGCCGGCTGTACTCCGAGTGCGGCAGCAGCTTGTACAGACCTTCCCGGGTGGTGAATTGGGTCTTAATCTCGTTCATCTCCTTCCCTCCTCCCTCCGTCGCCATCTTGGAAAGCAGCGTTCATCCTGCCCTGAGTGCCCGGATCACGCCCACCGCGCAGGCGCCGTCTCCGGCTGGCGCTCTCCCCCGCCTCCTCGCCGTGGCCCCTCCCACCCGCGCGCCCGCCCAGCAGAGGCAGGCCGAAGGGAAGGGGCGGGCTTGTTTACGGCCCGACTGCGCAGGCGTGCTCACCTGGCGCTCCACGCGGCGGGGCGTCCGCAGGCTCCTCCCCCTGGGCGCGGCCTGCGTCTGTCCCTAGGCCGTGCAGGTAACGCGGGCTCCGCCCCGGGGCGGAGTAGTGGTGCTCCGGCCTTTGCGGTCCCGACCCGGTTAGAGTAACGTGAGGGAAGGCGCCACGGGGCTGCGGTTGGGATCGTAGCGGTTGGCTCGGGGCGGCTCTTCCCCGAAGGGCCCGGAGACCCGGAGGATCTGGGGAACGGAGCAGCCTCGGCCGCCGCCCCCTTCTGCGGCGAGGAGAGCGCTGGAGCCCCGATGTTCCGCCATGGGGAGGGGTGAGGGCGGTCTCCCTGCCTTGGGGCCTCTCCTCGGGCACCCAGGGCGACGGTCAGTTTCCGAGAAGAAGGTACCTTGGGGACCCGAGTTTTGCGCTTCACCATGCTTTTCAGGCGAGGTAGCGGGAGAGGAGTGTACATGTGCGCACAGCACATGTGTTTGCAAGTCAGATATCTGAATACCTTTAATAGTGAGCGTTGGCTGATTATAAGAAAGGTGGGTTGTGCCGGCACTTCTGTTAGGTTTGTCTTCACCAGGTGTTTAAAGGGGGAGGAGGGTACGGGAACCAGAGGAAATCTAAGCAGGATTTACTTCTCTTGCTCAGTCGTTTATTAAGAGCCCTTAATAAATTTAGAGACCACTGATTTTTTAAAGGCTCTAAAGGAATCCGAAAAATTGTTTCCCAGACATAGTTTTGTGAATGTGCTGTACTGTACAATGTCTAGGTATGTAAGGACAAGCACAACTTGGTGAAGGTGAAACAGTAATTTATACCTGAGCTTCTTGGCATGTTGCACTAGAATAAGCAAGTTTCCAAAGTGGGAGAAACATTCTAATAGAATTCCGGGACAGGGGCGGGGCAACATTTGTTACAGCTAGAATAAACTGTTCCTTTAAGATCACATCATAGCTAGAGGGTCACAGAAGAAGGTGAGGGAGGTAAATTCTAAAGTAAGAGGAGTCTAAATTATAATCATCTTATGTATCACAAAGCAGGTAGATGCCAGTGGAAACTGCCAATGATGTAATAATGCATTTGACATTAACATCCCTTATCCTTCATACATGTTGGCAAAAAAAAAAGCACTAAAATTCTACTTAATTAATAGGTATCTAAAATACTTTAAATTGTTTTTGTTTTTACTGTTTGGATGTTTTCTGCATTTACCTAAGAGTCCAACAGACATCAGGAGTCTTTTCAAATACCAGAACGTCTTCTGTGGTCACCGTGGATTTACCCCAGTTTATACCACTGTGTTATTTTACATTGAAAACATGTATTTATAATGATCACTTTGAGGGATAGTGACATCCTAAATCATCTAAAACTAATTCAACTGTGTTCCCTTATTATCAAGGGGGAAAAGGCATCATAATACTTTCTGGAGAAAAAAAACAACTCAGCAAGCAAACATTAAAACAAAAAAATTTATTAGCCCTCAACCACAACTTTCAATTACCCATAATACCTATATTCTGTTAGAGTTTTATTCTAAGTAACTTTGACATATTTTATTTTGATCACAATTAAAATAGACGGTTCACTTTGTCCCATCCAGCCTTTGAATAATCTCTCATCGTCACACTTTTTTCTTTGGACTTCTTTACCAGCTCCACACTCAACGATTCAGTAAGTAACGCCTGAATTTGTGTAACTGGACTTGACCCAAAGTTCATTTCTGATTTTTAGTTTCATACTGGGAGTTTCCAACTGGATTTGTGCCTCAAATTCATTCCTTTCTAAACTTCATCAGTTTCCCTTCCTATTCTTTGAACTGGAAGCATTATATAATGACTTTATGAATGATTTCCTTAATTTCACTTTTTCTCTCAGCATTGCTCTTATAAACAACTTCCAAATTAATTTTCTTTTTTTAAATATTTATTTATTTTTAGAGAGGGAGGGGGGGAGAAAGAGAAGGAGAGATACATCCGTTGCCTCTCACATGCCCCCCACTGGGGACCTGGCCCGCAACCCAGGCGCGTGCCCTGATGGGGAATTGAACCTGCAACCTTTCAGTTCACGGGCCAGCACTCAATCAACTGAGCCACACCAGCCAGGGCCCAAAATAATTTTCTTAAAACAAGACTTCAGCCCTGGCTGGCGTAGCTCAGTGGATTGAGCGTGGGCTGCGAACCAAAGCATTGCAGGTTCAATTCCTAGTCAGGGCACAAGCCTGGGTTGCAGGCCACGGCCCTCAGCAACCACACACTGATGTCTCTCTCTCTCTCTCTTTCTCTCTCCCTTCCCTCTCTGGAAATAAATAAATAAAATCTTTGAAAAAAAAAAAGACTTCAGACGTTGTGTTCGTGCACCTGGAAAGTTTCAAGGGCCCGCAATAACCATGTGGTTTAGGTCGCGCACCCAGCGGCTGCCAGCCCGCACTCACCTGTTGCAGAGCCCCTGCGTGCCGCTCACCGAGCTCCACCCTCATCCTCGGCTTCCTCCTCTTGCTGGAAAAGAACCTCCTTTCCTCTCTTCAGAACTCGTGTGAGTGCTGTCTCCGCCAAGCTGGTCCCAAGCCCTAGGTCACAGGTGGCAAACAAGGCCCATGGGCCGAGTCCAGCCCCCCACCTTGCTTTATCCGGCCTGGCGCCCTGTCTCTATCCGGTGGCGGCACCGAACTCTCACCTAACTGTTAGGGAGTAGTTTCATTATACGGTCCTACAATGACATTCGGCCCTTTGAAGGCCCCCTCGAGGCTGATGCGGCCCCCGGTGAACATGAGTGTGACACCCCTGCCCTGGGTGATAAAACCATGTTTGAAACTGAGGATCCTCAATTCAGGACACGTGGCTGGCTTCAAAAAATGTTTAAATGCTTTGTAATGATATTCAAAAGTTTGTGTATCTGTTCATTACCGTGTTTTTTAGACTATGAGACACACAGAACCGTAAGGTGCACCTATGTTAGAGGAGGAAAATAGGAAAAAAACTGTGAAGCAAAAAATATAGTAAAATATTTAATAACATAAATAACACAGGCCACCGCCCCCACCCCCCACAGCGAGCCACGTAAGCTACATTCGGACTGTAAGGCACACCCCCAATTTCCTCCCAAATTTGGGGGGAAGTGTGTCTTATAGTCCAAAGAATATGGTATATTTTTCCAGTCTATAGCTTTCTTTCATCAGATTTTCAAAGAAGTGTGACCACCTTCTCCCCAAATTTAAAAATGACCTCTCTAGACTTCTGTGGCACTTCTCCAAGCTTTCACATGTCATGCGTAGTATCCTAAACCATTACCTTCTCTCGGCATTAATCAACGTGTGCTGATTGTCATGTACTGATACTTACCTTTCCGTGTGTACACGCCGCCTTCCAGCCAGATTGCAGGCACACTGGAAGACGTGGGGGGCCCCGATCACGTTCTTTGTATCTTCAAATATTTGCGTGCCCCCATGTGCCACTGTTACATAACGATTATTTAAGAAGGAATAAGATGCTTCATACGTGACCCACCTGGGCTCTTACTTCATGAACACCCTTCTAGCCCGTGGCAGGCGTCAGTGAACAAACCCCTCGCCCACGGAGTTTGTACCCGTGCAAGGAGAAGGTAGAGGACGACGACGCACACAAGTGAGAAACCTGGGCAGAAGTCATCCCCCTAAGAAAAGGGGGGGCGCAAGATAAGGGGGCTCAGCAGTGCTCGGGTAGTTTGCAGTTTAAATTATGGTGATCCAGAGAAGCCTCCATGGGAAGGTGGTGTTTGGGCAAAGACTTGAAAGAGGTGAGGGTGCGGCCCTGGCCCCCCTCCCCTCCCCCCCCGGGAAAGCACTGCAGCAGGCCTGCCCGGGACGGGAGGCACCTGCCCGTGCGTGTTCCAGGGACGGCAGGCATGTCTGCCGGCGCCGCAGCCGCAGAACGGGCAGGTGTTAGACTGCAGGGTTTAACATCCACTTGTGTGCCGAGCTGAGCGTGGGCGGCGGGAGGCAAGGCTGGAAGGGCCACTGGGGAGGCTAACTGTAGCAGCCCGGGCCAGAGGCGACAGGGGCCTGGACTCGGGGCGGTAGCAATGGAGATGGAGAGAGGTTAGGGAATCCCAAATGTATTCTGGAAGCAAAGCCAAGAGGACTCCCCAGCAGATTAGATGTGATCTGTGAGAGAAAGGGAGGCATCAGGAATGAGCCAGAGCCCTGACTCGTGCGGCTCAGCGGGTTGGGCATCATCCCTGCAGACTGCAAGGTCACCAGTTCAATTCCCGCCAGGTGCCCAGTTGGGGGCATGCAAGAGGTAAGTGATTGATGTCTCTCTCCCTCTCTTTCTCCCTCCCTTCCCCCCTCTCTAAAACTAAGTAAATATCTCTGGCTGGTGTGGCTCAGTGGATTGAGTACTGGCCTGTGTATCAAAAGGTTCCTGGTACGATTCCCAGTCAGGGCACATGCCAGGTTGCTGACCGGGTCCCCAGCTGGGGGCACGCAAGAGGCAGCCACACCTTCATGTTTCTCTCCCTCCCTTCCCCTCTGTCTAAAAATAAAACCTTTTTAAAAAATATATAAATACATGAATAAATGGCCTGGCTGGTGTGACTCAGTGGATTGAGCACTGGTCTGCGAACCAAAGGGTCACCGGTTCAATTCCCAGTCAGGGCACATGCCTGGGTTGCGGGCCAGGTCCCCAGTTGGAGGAGCGTGAGGGGCAACCGCACATTGATGTTCCTCTCCCTCTATTTCTCCTTCCCTTCCCCCTCTCTCTTAAAAATAAATAAATACAAATCTTTAAAATATATATATACACACATATAAATAAATAACATTAAAAAAAAAAAAAAGAATGACCCCAGAGTAGGCACAAGCAGCTGGAGGGTGGAAATGCCGTCACCTGGC